AAATATTTGAATTAATTTACTCATCTTTCAACAAAAGAATGCTGCCTACCTCTGATGTGTTATTGTAGGCACAGGTGATCCAGAGAGAAACAAGAGCGAGTCCTACCTTCCAAAGCTCATAATCAGGTGGGCAAAGCAAAGGAAATTGGTACCAATTTTAGGCTGTTACATGCCACCGAGGGGCAAATAGGTGCCTGGATAACTCTGACCTACACACACTAGAGGCATGGAGGTGTGTGAGCAAGGAAGAAACATGGACCATTCAGAGACAGTGAGAGGAGAAATGGAAAGGTAAAAGTGGGATAGGATGAGATGAGTTCATGAGAAACCGTGGGGCCCAGAACTCAAGCAGTAATTACGTACAAGGAAAAGAAGAGTCAGATTCAAAAGTTATGCAAAAAGGTGAATCAACACTATCTGCAATTAACTCAGGGCTGAGTGATAAGGGAGACTGTCCAAGTTTCTGTCTTGGGAGATTGGGTAGGTGGTGGGAACTGTTATGACTCCAGGCAATATAGGAAAAAGAAATATAGGGTGTGAGAGAGTTGGCTGACGATGGTGAATTTTGATTTTGATGCATTGATATGTTGAGTCTGAGCTATTGTTAGGGACAGGTGTCCAGTGAAGTTAAATCAAACCCCAAACTCACATGAGAGAGCTGCCCTAGATTCTATTCAAAATGTGTGGTTTGAAACCCATGTCCAATGCTCAGATAGATGTGTAATTCTAGGGGGAAAAATAATATTGTCTATTTTATCATTGTTGTTTTTTAACATTGAGATTTGAGGGCCCAGGTAAGAGAACATTTCAGTGGAGTAAGAGAAAAGAAGCAAAGAGAAACCTGGTCACAACCTGAAAATCATCTATAATAAAATGGGGTTCTCAGTTCAGGACATTTAATATTTTGACTTTGCTGTGATGCTCAGAATTACGAAGAAAAATTTAGTTCATACTGAAGGGATACTTAAGTGTTCATGGAAAGAAGGAGGAAGAAAGGAAACTAAGAAGGGAAGGAATGAAGAAAGCAAAAGAATAAGGATGGAAACCAAATAGAAGGAAATGGTTTAGTGAAATAGAGGCCAAGGTCAAGGAGGAAGTGACTTATTGAAATATGTTCCAATCAAGTAATCAAAGCTTCTTCATGACTTGACAGCAGAAAAATCTGATTCCCACTATTAAGCAATTATCTCTTATATAAAAAGACCAGTCCTTTTCAACCATTTTACCACAGAATCCCAAAGGAGGGATGAAGGAGAGGGCTTCCTGGGTCAGAGAAGTGGTGAAATGGGTTGCCAGTGCATGTGAAAAACTTGAAATAAACAAGTAGCCATGGAAAATGATATTCTGGGGACTGCTAGAGAAGAAAGAAGAATGAGAAAAAGTAATGGCACATATTCAAAAGCAAACATAAGTAACCAACCTTTGTGTCCTAGGAAGTTCTGATAAAAGACACACATACACACACACACACACACACACACCCAAAAAAACCCCCCCAAAAAACCCAAAACACACACACAAAAACAAACAAACAAACAAACAAACAAACAACCACAACAACCAACCAACAAACAAACAAAAATACCAGACTCCTCCTCTGTTTCCTTTGATGTAAGCAATTCAAATGAACATTTACAGCTTGAGTGCAATCACAGGTGAGGCTACGGAAGATACTATGATTCTAGCTCCTGGAGAGAGGGCCTGGGATTTTTTAGGGAAAGAGAAGAACCTCATCGCATGAGAATCTGAGAGGGTCTGGGAAATGTGGAGAGGAGTTGGAGTCTGGGGGAGAAGCCCACCCTCTCTGCCTCATTGTTATGTATTCTGGCACATGGTCAATCAAATATGACAGGTTAGGGATGAGAAAGGAGTGAATTAGCCTCTCTTCCGTAGGCTTTCCTTTCATTAGCTACTCCCACTTCCCCACAAACTGCAGGAGGGAGCCTGCGATTCCATGAGGTGTGGAGCAATGTGGGTCCTCTTACACAGGGTCTGGAAAGACACAAAGAAATCTGGCACTGCATGGTTCAAGTTCTATCCAGAGTAAGAACTTTTTAAAATGGTGTTTGAATTAAAGCACTGAGTGGCCAGCCCACTTTAGCCATTATAGGAGAAAATAGCCAATATTCCAAGAATGGAACCAGAGAAGAGTGGAAATGTCATGAGCTTTTATTACATACTTGTCAGGCTTATTATGTGGTGGTATATTCAATTTAAAAGCTGCCTATTAATACAAAATTATATGCAAAATATTTCAAGGATTCCATACCCACTCAAGAGGTATAGAATGCATGCAGTAGATAGTGCCAAAGAGCCCTTTGGGATATGTCTAAAAGAATATCATTAATTTTTACAGTGTGCTTCCATTGCTGGAGCTATTCCAGCATTGGCTTTCTATAAAAATCATTTCAGTTTAGAATTATGCTATTTGCTTGCAGCAACATCACAGGAGCAGTAGTGCACCATATGTTCCTACTTAGCAACTTAGTCTGTAAGTCCCAAAGCATGTACTGATTTGAAAATTGAACAGGAATTATAATTGTTGAGTGATGCTATGAGGTGAGTTGTCTTGGATTACTAAACTATGCAGATGTTTGATGTTATGTAGGAAAAAAGAACAAAAAAAATTTTTCCCCCCCGCTGCAGGATGACTAAAATCTTATTTATGGTTGCTGAAAGGGGTAAATTGATTAAAAGTCCCTAAAAGAATACCAGGTAACGGATTCTTGAACACACTATATTACAGTCAACAAAAGAAATGTTAAGTGCAAAATTTAGTTAAGGCCATTGAATTTATGTGATTTGCAAGATTTATCCCCCTCCCTACCTCCAGAGAATGTATTATTTTATATTAGTCTATTTTTTTTAAAAGCAGTACATTCTAAAAATGTTTTCAGATATGATCTGTTATTAGAAAATAGTTTGGTTCTGGCACACAAACCTGCCATATCTTATAAAGACAACATATTTGGAGCTCTTTACTCCTTCATACATTTTTATATTCATGGTAACTCCTGACTGAAATGTTAAGAAAAATATTGTTAGCTATTTGCTTTTAGTCAGGGCTTACTATTATCTGCTGTACTTGAATTTAAAAAAATCTTAGGACCCAAGCTGTTGTGATGTATATGCATTGAATTTCTAATCCTTTATCCAAAAGTCTTTAAGAAGGACATAATGATTCTCTGAGAGGGAGCAGCTGCTTTATAACCGCAATCATTTATTGAGTTTGTGTTTCTACTGTTTCAAACAAATTCAATTAGCCCCTACACTTCAAAACCCTAAAGGCACCAGCGAGATGATACTGGGCTGCTCTAATCTAATAGTAATACTAAACTTGTCAGTACAGTTTTGGGATTGATGGTTAGAAGAAAATTAATAGTAACATTTTTCATTTTTTAATCAAACAGTCCTATTCTGGAACCACCTATGGATCTGGGAGGCTACTTAGCCGCATGAATTCAGTTCAGTAAGAATTTTAAATGCAAAGCTCGGCCTTCCAGAGGTATTCTGAGTGTGATCAACTCCGTTGGAAGGAAGGAAATGTTGTCCGGATCTTTGAACTTCACCATGACCTTCTCCTCCGAACAATATAGTGTGGTTTCTAGAATTGTCTGCCAGAGGAGGCAGTGATCATAATGACTTCTAAATGCAAAGTTCACGGAGAGGCAGGCCTGCCTCTGTTTTGAGTTAAACACAAGGCATTTTGTTCTTAGGGCAATTTCAAAGCCCCACAGAGGGAACCCTTTATATATACATTAGATTTAATTCACTGACAACTGCCAAGAAGAACAATAGAAGTTTTCTAATCTCCTCTGCCCCCACCCCTCCCAGTGAACAAATCTATTTGGGTAGTTCTGTAGAGGTAGTGGAAACGACAGTTTTCACCATAGTCATTGTTACAGGAAACTCCAAGCTACCATGGTTTTACAGTCTTCTAGGAAAAACATATGTTCAATTGCCCCCAATGCTCCTATGAACTCACCCTCACTTTCATTCATTCTTTCATTTATTTTATTTATCTTCTTTTTTTTTTTTTCCATGTATTGGGACATGATCTGGAATCTTTTTTAGGATTTATAAGATCCAGGTCATTTTAAATTTTATTTTATTGTTTAAAGTATTACAAAAAGTAGTACGTATGTCTCATTTCTCTCCTCATCAACATTCCCTGGGACCTCTCCTACCCCCCAGGCCCCAGTACATGCCCTCCTTCCCTCTTTCCCCTCGTGTCTTGTGTCATTCATTTATATTTGCTTACTATGTTCTTACACAGTATGTTATACTGGCACTCTAGGGCAGTTATAATTTTTGCTTTAAATGCCCTTACTGGATGGAAGGGCCTGGTCTTAAGTACCTAAAAATAAATAGCCAAGCACTGACTTTTATAAATGTATCCATTTACATTTTCTTTGGACTTTTGTTGTCACTTCTCATGATTAAATACCGTGTCAACCATTCCCAGTGAAATGGATACAAACGTGCCCTTGATTGATTTCAATCATATCATGCATTTTGGCTTGAAAGCTACCCACCCCGTAGATTCTGAAAGCAGCCATCTAGAGCTCATCGGCCACGTGATGTTGGTGATAAACATACCATTTTCTTGAAAACTGCCCCAACAGTGGATAATTAAAGCAAGTTGTGGCATGTGTAGCTTAAAATGATTAACTTGTCTCTAGTCAGAAGCACAAATAACCTGCACCTGTAAAGACTTTATTTCCTAAAGGTAAAACAACTGTTTAGGGAAGATCATGCTGGCAAAACAGCTGCTTGCCATTCTGGAGGGGAAACAAGGTAGTATCTTTTCAACAAATGCCAACTCCGGTGTTTTATCAGCTCTATCTCATTAACTGGAAACAAGGCTTAAATGCTTTGTTTATAAATTATGATTATTCCTGATTGCGGCAGTTACTGATAGTGCTACTCATTTGCAATGCAACTCTTTGAATTTGTTTAATTACAATTTGAAACAAGGCAGAGAAGATTAATTAACCCACCTGACTGGCTGGCACGTAGTCCTGGCTCGGCTCTGTCATGCTCATATACATGTTCTCACCGTCAAACTGCGAATGAAATAATAGTAAACATTCAGCAATCTCAACTGTGCGAGGGGCTTTTTGTTTGTTTGTTTGTTTTTCACCATCAAACTGGGAACTCCAAGCTACTGTGGTAAACAGTAGCCGTAAAAGGAAAAGAAAAAAAAAAAAGAAAAAGAAAACTACTGTGGTTGGGAATATGGAAAAGCTGTCCTCCTGAGTGAGCCACATCTTTTTCTTTGATGTTTCTGTTGTCATCTTCCTGACCCTGGATGTCAGTGATTTGGAGTAATTAGTGCTCTAGTAATTACAGCAAGCAAGCAAGAAATGAATGGTTTCCTTTCATCTGCAATCTGTTTTAAAACAGAATGGCTCATTTTGCATACCCTGTATACATATTGCAGTTCAGTTGTAATGAAGTATTAAATGAATGGCATGATTTCGGGAGGGGGGGGAGTGGAAAGATAATGGAAAATAAACTAAGGCACAGCTCAATGCATTCTGGGTTTAGTTCTCAAAAAAAGAAAAAGTGCAGAGTTTTCATAATAAACTAACACTGGCTTCATTACAATAGCTTTATGATTAAAAATTTTAACTTGATAATAATATTTGAAAAAAAGTATTCGCTGCTACATCCATAGCTAAGAACAATAATAATAATAACAATAAAAATATGCAGGTTCGATTCTTAAATTTCCCTCTCAGAAATTTTTCAAAGGCAGAATAAATAAGTATTACGAATGCACAGAAACTCATACACCAGGTTACAAGTTAGGAACAAGATGGGAGTTGGAAATTCACCAGGCGGGGCAATTGTGGGATGAGGCAACAGTTCAAGCAAGAGCAGTAACAACAACATACTTTCCATTATTTGGGTTTTTGAAAGCAGTAATCACTCTATTCAGACTTAATCCTCAGCTATCTTTAGTCGCTTGATAAATGGGCAAGGCATTCCTTTTTTTTTTTTTTTTTTTTTCTCGTTAAAGGAAAAAAATTCCCAAGGAATTAATCAAATGGACTAATACAGCCAGCTTCAAAGCAAAAAATACTTTCACAGGCAGACTAATTTCAGACACGGGAACGTGAAAATCTGAAAAATTACTTTTTAGGCAGAAAAAGTATAATTGATGGAGGTGCAAACACAAAGTAAAATAGACATGTTATATGCCATCAAAATTTAAAAAAAAAACTGTGTTATTTCGATGTTGCATTTCATCACCTGTCAGCTAGTAGCCCAAGAGGGTTGCACAAACTCTTTGGGGACACACCAAAGCCTGTGACCTGCAGTCAGCAGCAGTGGGTGCCTGGAGAGTCAAATCAACATCAGCTGTGTGAGTCAAGACCGCCCCAAGGACACTGAAGCACTCACAAAGTTAAGTTCAAAGCACTAAACATTTCTTCACCCATCACCCTGCAAATAGATCTCATGTTATGCCAACAAACTTACCTAACCAGATAGGACACCACTAAAGGAATGATGTGGCTGGTAAGGCAAATAAGAAGTAGCACACTAAGAAAAGACCAGCTGGACATTTTGGGGGCTTTGTCATCTGGCTCAAGAGCCCTGAGTCCCAGGGACTTACCCAAAGCTGCTTTTCCATCAGTCAGGTGATCGATCACCTTCAACCCAAAGACAGTCCTGGCCCTAGTCAATCCGCCAGTTATTCCTGACAACTCAAGTCCTGACAAAGCATCACTTAGCATTTCTCCACCCCCGCCCACTGTTGGTTTGTTTGCAAATGTTTTTAAAGCTAAGATGCCAAAGAACCATTTAAAAAATGGACAGTTTCTCTGACGATAACAAACTAAATTGCACAGAAGTAGTGAAGTGAATCAAATACTCCACTGCCTGTGCATATTCTATAAATGTGTTACTTTCTATTTCATCTTCTCTAACTCATTTGCTAAATCTGGAGTTGTTTTCAAGCCAATGAAGGCTTTGGAGTTTTGGTTTTAGTCTATCCAAAATGTATGCTAATTAAGCATATTCAATATACTGCTCTTGATAAGGACTCTTTACTCACAAAGTACCAGTGCTTAAGTAATATTGAGCCAAGGCTGAAACAGCATTTTAGAATAAAATTTAAGTTGCTATAGGCATAACTATTTTATTGAATAGATTCTATATCCCCATCATCTGTCTCTTTACATTCACTAATGCATATTATCTGATTCAATCTTCATAAAAACCATGATTTAGGTATTGTTACCTCATTTTACAATTTCAGATAGAGAGGCAAATAATTTAAACTAGATGCTTAAGGTTACAAGCTCTTAAAAGGAAGGTCTAGGATTTAAGGCCAGGCAGCCAGGCTTTCTACCGTGTTTCCCCGAAAATAAGACATCCTCCGAAAATAAGACCTAGTGCATGGAAAGATAAGACATCCCCTGAAAATAAGACCTTGGTAGAAAAAATTAATATAAGACACTGTCTTATTTTCGGGGAAACAGGGTAGAATATGCTCTAAACCTCCAGAACATATAGTCTGAATCATAATGATGAATTAACTATCAATTCTGCAAGTGTCAAAAATTACCAAAGCAGGTCATTAGCAATATCTCAATGATATTGAAATATTGTCCAGAATGTCAATGGAATTGTGAAGCTTACAATAAACATGATTCTCAAAGAATAAAGTGAAAGGTATCGTTCTCCCTGACTTCAAATTATATTACAAAGTGACAATAATAAAAACAGCACGGTATTGGCAGGAAAAATAGGCCAATGAAACAGAATTGAGAGCTCAGAAATAAACTCACATGTATATGAGCAAATATTTTTTGACAAAGGAGCCGAAAACATAAAATGAGAAAAGAAAGTCTCTTTAATAAATGGTGCTGGGGAAATTGAAAAGCCACATGCAAAAAAATGAAACTAGACTGCTATTTGTCACCTATCCAAAAATTAACTCAAAATAGATCAAAGACCTAACTATAAACCCTGAAACAATAAATTGCTTGGAAGAAAACATACATAATATATGGACCTTGGTCTTAGAGAGGATTTTATTAATTTAACTTCAAAGGCAAGGAAAGTAAAAGCAAGAATAAGTGAGTGGGGCAATATCTTCTACCCAGCAAATAAATCATCAACAAAACAAAAATGCAATGAAATGAATGGGAGAAGATATTTGCAAACAACACCTTCAATAAAGGATTAATATGCAAAAAATATAAATAATTTAACAATAAGAAAACAAACAATTCATTTAAAAAATGGGCAGAGGTCCTGAATAGACACTTCTTCCAAAAAGAGATACATATGACCAACAGATATCTGAAAAGATTCTCAGCTTCTCTAGTTATTAGGGAAATGCAAATCAAAACTACAATGAGCCTGGCCAGGTGTCTTAGTCATTTGAATTGTTATCCTGGACACCAAAAGTTGTGGATTTGATTCCTAGTCATGGCATATACCTAAATTGCAGGTTCAATTCCCAGTTGGGATGTGTATGGAGATAATCAATCTATGTTTCTCTCTTATATCAGTAGTTCTCTCTCTCTCTCTCTCTCTCTCTCTCTCTCTCTCTCTCTCTCTCTCTCTCTCAAATGAATAAAAACATAACCTTGGATGAGGATTTAAAAAACAAACAAACCTATAATGAGATACCACCTCACAACTGTTAGAATGGTCATTATCAGCAAGACATGTAATAACCATTGGAGAGATTGTGAAAAAAAAATTCTCATTCACTGCTGGTGGGAATGTAAACTGGTAGAGCCACTATGAAAACAATATGAAGGTTTCTCAAAAAAAAAAAATTGAGATAAGAGTTAGCATATGAGCCATCAAGATAAATGTAGTATTATTCATTGCAGCATTATTCATGGTGGTCAATACCTGAAAACAATGGAAGTATCCTTTGGTAGGGGACTGGATAAGGAAAATGTGGTAAATATATACAATGAAATACTAATAAGCCATGAAAGTGATAAAATACTGTCATTTGCAACAAGAGAGAGGGATCTTGAGAATATTATTCCAAGCAAAATAAGTCAGATGGAAAGAGATAGGAACCATATGATTTCACTCATTTGTGGGATATGAAACTGAAAGCAACACAAGAACACACAAGCAAAAACTCACAGACACAGACAAAAGTCTCATGCCTGACAGCTTATGGTTACCAGAGGAGAAGAGGTATGGGAAGGAGGTAGTAAAAGATAAAGGGGTTAAATATATGGTAACAGAAAGAGCTTTGACTGTGGGAGATGAACACACATTGCAATACACAGATAACATAGTATAGAATCATACACTTACAACCTTACCAATGTGACCCCCATAAATTAAAAAAATTAAGAAACAAATAAACAAACAAACAATAACCCCCCATGAGCCTTGGTGAGCTACCAATTTAATAATCAGGTTGGTAGAATGTCCCTGGATGCTTTCTAATTAACCCTTAAAAAATCTAGACATGGCAGGGCAATTAATTTTATGCCTACATGACTGGGCCACATGGTGCCCAGATATTTGGTCCAATAGTCTTCTTGATGTGTCTGTGAGGGTATTTTGGGGTGAAATTAAGGTTTGAATTGGAATATCCAGTGGAGCAGACAGCCCTCTCTAATATGCGTGAGCCTCATCCAACCAGTGAAAGACCTGAATAGCACATCAACACTGATCTTTGAGAGAGAACGAGGAAACACACCCAGTGTGACTGTTGATCTGGGACATTCACCTTTTCCTGCCTTCAGACATCAGCTCTTCTTGGGTCTCATGCCTGACAGCTTATGTACTGGAACTATTGGCTTTCCTGGATCTCCAGCTTCATGGAGCTTCTCAGCCTCCATAACTGCAGGAGAAGATTCCTTAAAATAAACCCCTTTCCTTGTATAGTAGTATATACATATTGTTGGTTCTGTTTCTCTGGTGAACGTTAACTAACACAGGTGGCTACCTCTGTTCCTTACCAAGATATTCACGACTGTTCCAAATGCTTCTTTCTGGAGGACATACAAAGCAGGAACACATAAGAGGTGACATTTATTTCATGTTTTTGCTTGCTTTCTAGGGGAGAAGA